TTCATTTGTCGTGAGCATTCAACAGAATCATTGTTTAAGCTGTGAAGTGTAATGATACAGACAACATACACTAGGTAGTGTGTGCGGATTATGATTCACATTGGCAAACTATAAAATGTCTAGATATTACAGTTCTGTTATAAATTCACTATAAGTTTCAGCAGATCGTCTGCTTTATATTTAGTTTCAAAATGCATACAAGTATGATAACAATCTAATTAGGATTATAAGACCAAATATAAAGGCGCACATTGACTAGTATCTACATACTGGTGAGTGGACATTAACCATGTGAATGTAGCAAGAAATTTATCGCGCAATATTGTAACCGACCCCACCTCGGCTTCCGTGGAAGAAATCGTTATGTTATAAGTTGTGTCATGCAAAATCCGTTTGGTTATGATTCCAATACATATTTAACTACTTGAGTAGAAAGTAGTTTTGATTTTCTAACTTGATGAAAACAAACTATAATCTCATTAATTCTAACAGACTTTCACGATTTTTCAAAATGGTAGCCCTGTCGGGAACATCGCCAGTCTGAGGATAAATGGTATTTAGGTTTGTTTTCACCGAGGTTCTAAAATCAAAACTACTTTCTACTGGTAGTAAAATATTTATTTTATTGATGGCCAATAGGATTTTGCATGATATAGCGTATAACATATCAATTTCTCTCCTGGCAGCGAGGTGGGTGTCAATATAATACTACTTACAATATTATTGTTACTTGACCACAACCTCACTTCGAGGAAGAAATCGTTATGTTACAAGTTGTGTCATGGAAAATCTTTATGGTCATCAATCATAACATATTTTACTACAACTAGTAAGTAGTTTTGATTCTTTAACTTCCGTGAAGCGATCTGAACACAAGTAAGATATCGTTTCAGGCTTCCACAACGCTCGCGCCAGCACTCACAAACATAACCCATTTAGCACGAACTTCGCGGTGTCCTGTGGAAATCTGTGCATGGTGACACCATCGCCCGACCCTAGGAGCAATTGATGACAAAGCAACGATTCGGCATGTCGTCATTGATGTCGAGAAATCATCAAAATGATGAGCATGCTACACACTTTCTATACAACTAACTGAAAATCGTTCCTCATATGACGTCACTGCAGTGCTCTGGCGACAGAGTTACGTAACCTGTCTGTGGTTTCGTTGGCGGGCGAGAGGGAAGCAGGCGACTTTTTGGCCACTTTTAATCGCTCGGTATTAATAAACCACAAGTTTTTAAAGAATAAATTTGGTGTTCCGCATATGACTAACCACAAATCTTTCATATGTAATGGTTAAAAGAGTAACAAAAAACAAAGTTTAGTGGTTCTTTAACTAGGGCTGGGATGGGTAACCCGGGTACCCGGGACGGGTGGGTAATGAGCTGGACCCGGGTACCCGTCACGTTACCCGGACCTGCTTTGATGACGTGACTAATAAATGAAGACTCAATTGAATGAGTTTATAATTATTATATATATATGTATCGAGACACCTGTACATAATCTCCATGATGACTTCTGGCCTGATAATGTCTTGTATTGCGAATGGATTCCTCGAAAAGCTTGGTACAACGAACATACACGTTCATGACCTTAACAGCTATCCTCGTCAGTAGTGTTCTGTCCCACGTTGTCATCCATGATGATGACGTCAGCACTAGGGTTGTCTTCCATTCTGCTGTCGCAAGGGTTGTTTATCTCCTCGCTTGGTTGTTGTTGACACGGCTGTTGACTCTGAATAGTAGCAATTTGACCACCGGCTTGATGGGTATCCATAGCGCCCCTCTTGACAGCCTCTGAATACAGTGAGCTTGTTGTGTGTATTCATCAGGTCAATCTTACCGTCGAGAGAGCGTACGCTCTTGTCAATAAATATGATTGATGGGCTTATGCCGTCTTTGTACTGACTGAGTTCAGTGTCTTTTGCTTTGAGTTCATTACGAAGCATAACAATCTCGGTTTGAGATTCTTTTCATTGGCACGAAGTTTTGCAATATCAACTGCATTGTTTTCACATATTTTATCCTTAATTTGATATTGCTCAATGAGGTTAAGCATGTCATTGCTATACATGGCTTGAAAGACGTCAATCATTTTACACATATCTTGAAATTTTCTGTTCATGTCTTCATGCATAAATAGCATCTTTGATAGCAAATTTGACATCATATCCCTTTCATTGTCATTGCACTCCCTTTGTCCCTGTTGAACCTGGGGCGGTTTACCTTTCCTTAACAAATCTGATTGAATCACATGTGCAGGTACAACTCCATGTATATATTTGAACAATAGGTACACATCGGACGCATATTTTTCAATAACAGTCTTCACTTGTCCCAGTCTCTTAACTCGCTTAATGAGAACACCTGGAAAGTCTGGACAATCTGACTTCCCTATATCATACATACACTGACGAATGTAATTCAAGCCCGCGTCATTGGTGCCATATTGATTAACAAGTGATCTTTTACATGTTTTTCTATCGTTTTCTCCAAAGAGATTTTTCAAAGTCATAATCCAGTTTATCTGGTTTCTGTGTGGAATATGCATCTGGGGACGTACATACAGACGTATTCATTGTAGGTATGGTTACCACGTCAACAATGATGATAGAGTTACCTTATTTGGCTCCCAAGGAATATCCTTTTGTGAACACACATGTTTGTCCATAGATCACCAATCATTAAACATTCCAGTAATTTGAGATAGTCCAAGGGGAAAACACACAGAAACTTAGATTACATCATTTTCTGGCGGAGCCTCGAAAACACCTCCGCTTCCTTCGGGACCCAAGCCGATCGTCAAGCTTTTGCCAAATCTTAACGGTCACATGCAACCAAAAATCAAACATAATTAAAACACGATTATCACTTATTCATGACATATAATATCCATTGCTGGTTATGAAAAAACATATAAACAAAATTATAAGCGTACAATTGCGAATCAAAAGTGCAATATTGTGTACTTTGGGTTTACTTCCCAAGAAACGAAGCAGCTGGGATACTGAACCCAGTCAGAGCGGGTGGGTGTGCACTCAAGTGTAACGGCTGGTTCATTTGCAGATGCCCTCACGGCTCATTGTGTGTGTATATATAGAGATGTTGGGTTTTGTAAATACATGCTCATTTTTTGTGTATAACATTTTGCAATCAACAGACACCATAACATGTCATGTGTACAAGTATCACACCTGCCTGTCTGTGTAATTACATAATGTGACAGAGACCGAACTCAGGCCATAAATCAATGCATTTTGTTTATGGTGTATAGCCTGATTGGTGTTAAGTTCAAATTGCATGTGGTCAGTGATCGCAGTTGTGTATTGAATATTGTCATTAGCAGACAGGCAGGCAGACACATAGGTGTCAATAAAACAGACATTGAGTTTTGTCTGTGACAACGACATATCAATACCACAGTTAGAAATTCTGTCAACGCTAAATAATGACATTGCTTTTAAGTATCGAACTGAGAAAGTGACTCGGTAAGAAGAACGTGTGGTGAAATAGACAAATGAAATTATATAAACAGTTAATCTACTGTCATAACATATAAAAAGCTCACGCCTGTGAAATATCAACAAAACATTAGAAAAATAGCTCACACCAAAGCCTTCACCGAGTATTCACCGGACAACCCGCTTCCAAGCTGCACGAACCTATTTCACTGCGAACGTGAGCGCAGCCCAACTGTTGAAACCACTTTCCCCCAAGAGCTGGGGGAAAATTAGTGAATCGTTTGAACTACAATTTCGCACGTTTTTTTTTTTTCATCGCTTTATTTTTCAACTTTATGAAGTTGAATTTGCAAAGTTGTGTTTTTTGATGATTTGTTTGGTAAGTCCATACTGACGAAAGGTATCAAAATCTGCAAAGTTGTGACTTTTACGTTGCATGTGACCTTTAAAGTTGAATGGAACCCAGAATGTCTTTAGTGACTGATAGTTCAGCTTGTCTTGCATTACTGATCCCCACTCTTGGAGCTAATTATAATAGAAATTTGGCTTGAACCAGTGACTGATCCCACTGATCCCCACTCTTTGCTTGCCCCTGGTGACTGACATGAACCAGTGACTGATAGTTCTCGCTTGTCTTGCATTACTGATCCCCACTCTTCCATAGAGACACCCTGATCTATCTGGTGACTGACATGAACCAGTGACTGATAGTTCACGCTTGTCTTGCATTACTGATCCCCACTCTTCCCAGACACCCTGATCTATCTGGTGACTGACATGAACCAGTGACTGATAGTTCACGCTTGTCTTGCATTACTGATCCCCACATAATTTTATGTACGAGAAGACTTTTTCCTAGCACATTTGAGGGGTGTCCCTCAATGGAATGTAAGATAGTAACGCAGACATCTGACCTAGAATAAGTCATGATGTAAACTCCGCAGAAGTCAGCATAGACATTGTGTTTGTCGTTGTCAACAGTTGATTTAGCTGTATCAGATGTGTGTGAGCCATATGCATAACAAAATTTACATATGACATCACCCTGGTGACTGACTTGAAAAATTGGCGTGTTCACTGACAGCAGAACTTGAGATTTTCAGAGGACTTTTGTTGATTCCATGATCATATATATGCATAGATGTATCATGTTAGCATTCAGAAACAATCTGATAATTGGCTCATTGTTGTTTATTTTCATGATTTCTGTTGTAACTGAGATAATTTATTAGAAATACAGATAAATACCACTATAATTGTGAGTGATTTTATGTCAGGGTAACTCTAATTCTTTTAATGTACCAAAACATTGTGATTGTATTTATATCTGGGAGGTGACATATCACATCGCTTTTCATTGACCAGAAAAAGCTAAAAAGCTTTATTTAATTCAGATGAACATATCGGAAATGAAATCATTGAATTGATCAAAAGGGAATTTCAGTGTCTCTAATAAACTCAGTATTGTTAATATATTTTCAGTGAAATGTTTTTAAATTTTAGTTACCATTTGTCCTATATTTGATATTTTTAGGTGCACCCCAGAAATGGAGGTGATTCTGGACATACCTACCCAAGAGTGGCTTCCCATCTAATGAACCAAGGGCTGCTGCTGAATGATGTAATGGAAATCATTGTATTTGAGGGATGTATATTACTTTTATGTAACATGAATGTACAATATTAGCTTAGTACACCACCACTATTCAGACCATTATTATTTGTGTTCATCCTGCAAAGCTGGTATCCACATGAGATAGTCCTGTGGTGAGATCAAGCAATATCTCCTGTCAGAGCAGCTTTGTTGTGGAAGTACCCGTGCAACCTTCTTTGTAAAGCTGAACATGCAGTGGAACTACCTAAGTTTCTTATATAACCATTTGCAGCTGACAAGGACAAACATTAAAGAAACCTTTTGTCTTTTTTCTCTCAACATTTATCTGTCCATTCTTCTTATAACACATAAAACATGTATGTTGCTGTTGGTATGCTGTCAAACATTGATTTTAATAGATGAAGACATTATTTCCTCAGAAGATCAAAAAGTGTAAGATCAACAACTTTTGTCATCCATAGATATACTGATATGTCAGTTAGTATCTTGGTTTCCATTGTAAAAGACTTCAGTGATTTGTGACATAAAAAGGTGTCAAAATCTTCATTTAAATTGACGTTTTTGTAATTACTGTTGAGAAGTTTTTTAGGTTGTCCAGTTTGCAATGAAACCCAAATATTACAATCATTACCTAGCCATGTCCACTGTATAGAAAGAACATGACAATCAACAAAGACTGGTCCTGTTCCCACTGTGTAATATATCATCTGTTTTAAGACTGCTGTGTTTTCTTGAACGGAATTTGTGGAATTAACTTTGAATGTGTGCTTGAAAAAGGAGATTTTGTATGCACCCTAACATTGTACCCTGAAATTGTTAGTGTCTTTGCAATAAAAATGTATTGAGTCTGAGTGTGAGACATTTGTACAACAACAGTAGTGCCCATAGTTTTAGTATCTTCTATCTACACCCACCTATACACCCTCTCTGATCAGATTTTATATTTTTGGCTGCACTTGGAGCTCAGTTTACAGCTAAGGACTGTACGGTAATTACATTTTTATTTTACTTATTTTTAATTTAAATGGTATCATATTAGAAAATGATGAGTGAAAAGTTAAAGTACAGTTCCCAGTCTTTCAGCTCGATGTCAAGTTTGAGATTGAGTCCAGCTTGAACAAACTGACGTCAAATAAACAAGCAGCATGTTTACTGGCTCCATGCTTTGGCGCATGTTGGTGCTGTCCTCCGGCCTGAGAAGTAATATACTCTACTCTCTGAAGCTCTGCCATTGTACAGTGCATCTGAGAAACAATATCTAACTCTATATATAAGGCTTTTTATTTTTTAGTCTATTCTTAATCAACTAAGTAAAATAACATTCTTAAAACGACTGTGTATTTAGTCTATTCTTAATCAATGTCTGATTAGACAGAGTCTACTGTATATGTTTTGGACTGGTTTCTGGACTGGTCTATTGTCGTTATTGGGTGAGGAAGGGTGTTATTATTTGTCAAAGTGCCTACACGAGCAGAACCTACAGACTGTAATATGTTGTTTTAAGACTGTAGGCAGAATGGCATGTAGGCACATTGTGAGGACACCGGTGTACGTACAGGGAGCCGAGAACCTGCTTAGTCACACAAACACCTAACAACACCATCGAAACCTCACAAAAACACACACCATACAACACAACCAATACAAGTACACCAACAAAACTCGAACATCAACAAAGTCTGGAAGTGACATTGCGAGTAACATGAAGGGAGAAAAGTCCATTGTGGAACAATGCACAGACAACACGAAAATGTGGTCAGAATACAATTTTACAAGGCTTACAGCTTGTCTCCTACCACCAAGGGACCGCTGCCGTGGTTAGAGCGGAAGGTTGCAGCTTCGATCCCCGACCACATCATACCAAAAGACGTTAAAATATGGTACTTGTTGGTCCCTGCCTGGCGCTCGGCATTAATGGGTACAACAAGGACTGGTCGGCTCGGGAGTCAGTATAATGTGTCTGAGTGGGATATTCATGCTTCAGTGCGGCATGGTATCTCAGTGGGCTAGCACTATAAAACCAGCTTCAGTCTGGGCTAGTACAAGCAGCCGCACATACACATACACACGCATGCACGTCGTCATATAAGCGAAATAATTTCAAGCACGACGTAAAACCCACTTTCACCTCACCTCACCTACCACCAAGGGAGTATAAGCATACTAGAGTTATGCCAACAAGAACCATGGACGTTACAGTCACTACATAGTGAGTGAGTGAGCATACTTTTATGCTGCTTTTAGCAATATCATGGCGGGGGACACCAGAAATGGGCTTCATACATTGTAACCATGTGGGGAATCAAACCCAGGTCTTTAGTGTGACAAGTCAATGCTTTAACCACTACACTACCCCACTGTCCCACACTACATACCCCGGTACATTTTTTGTAGCAGTCAAAAAACCATAAGAGCAGTCAACCCAGCACAGAGCAGGTGGGAAGCATCACATAAGTTCTTCACTGTCAACATATGTGAGGCTCCCATATGCACCACCCACTTTTCAGGCTGTTTCCATGCGGACATTTGTGACAGAACCCCCAACATGTAGGTTGAGCTATGCACTTTAAAAGACAGCATAGGGAGCGAAATGATAACATTTTCAATTAAAAAATGTTCATTTTTAGTCATGTCATCTCTTAAATCACTTCAGAAAACTGTAGTGGACATACTGCAATGGTGGAATATATACCAAAATGTACTTGGCATCTTTGGAGAACATGAAGAATATGTTTTGCATGTGCATTCCCGTATGATAGGGTATCATTACCTGCCTGGGCGAAAATCTTAAAAATTGCCCTTGTTTCATGTGGTGCACAGAAAACAGAAAATAAACATGGTATATTTAAAGAGGGTATCCTCCCATTTGGCAAACAGGCAGTTCCTACAAGCCTTAAGACATGATTTACAGGTTCGATGAATAGATTAACTACTACCTGTTACCTACACATTATAATGGAATAGTCCAAATAAAAACACAAGAAAAAATATAGTTCCAAGCAACGATGAGGGCTCCTTGGCTTTAGCTCTATCAAGCCTATTGTATCTGTCACATATCTGATGAAAGTAGTAATAGTTTTAGTTAATATGAAACATATCACTGCTAGTCGAATGCTCTTCGACTGGAAGGTCTTTAAGTTTCGATAAATTCATCAAAAAAACTATTTTCTTAGATTAAAAAATATCACTTGGGTATCATGAATCTCAAAACAGAAGAACCCTTTGTTCAAACAGTCGGAGAAACAGAAAATTTGGTGGCCTTAACTGAATAAGTTGCAAGGCTCACTGTGATTCACATTATATGTGGAAAATATCAACAGCAGCCAAATTGACATGTTGACAAGAAGCACTCGTGCTCTGTATTTCTGTAGCGTTTATCAATATCCATAACGCTGTTTCTATTGCGCTGACGCAAGTGAACTTGTGATTTCACAGCAATTAAGGTACTCCAGTAGGGGTATTCTCGGGACGTGTACACCCTGTGTCGTGTCGTCCAGAAAAAAGTGTCCACTTTGGGTTACTAAGCTAATTAACGCCAGACAATAGACAGGGTGTGTGATTGCAAGACTTTGGGCAGTACTAGATTTGTGAAATTATAAGGAAACGAAACAAGCTTTTTTGTTTAACAGTTTTAATAAAATTATAAGACACTGTGTCGGCAAACACAATGACGCTGATGTCCCCACGGTTATTAAACATCGATAAACCTCAGTTTCATTTGGAACAGCGGGGTGGTTGTGTGAGGATGTCGTTGACTGTTGATACAGTTGATTTATAACCCCTGATGCGAAGAACACCAGTCATTTCTCCTTCTCTTCAGGATTCTGTATGTGTGCCCATTCACGCAGAAATATCTTCCACCTCGTGATGTCGGAAGAAATTTGTAATCTAACTGTACGTTTGCCATAGTGAAAGTGATGCATTGACCTCATTTTGTCAGAATTATATAGTACAATTTCCCGACACTGATTAATTTACTCACCTAGCGGTGTATACTTATCGGAGTGAACATATTTTATGAAATCAATCAACACTGAAAACAATTTCTGAGTGAACTCACTCACCTGTCATAGTTTCACGCTTAACACGCTTTCACGACACCTTGACAATTCCGGATAACAGTTCACATTTTAACACTTCCCGACCAGTTTATCCCTTACTAAAAACAGACGACATCAAAGGTACACCGTCTGTCCACGTCCTGCGAGTGCAAACTATCAGGTTGTCCACGTCCTGAGAATGAATCTTTCAGTAGTCTGTATCAGTATCCATTACACTGTTACGCTCGGGCTGTTGTAAAATGAACTTGTGAATCAAGAACAAGTATATATACTGGAAGTACACTTAACACCTCGATACAGGTCGCCTATTAAGTTATAAAATCCATGCAAACTGCAGAAGACCCAATAACTATTGTTACTGAAAGCACATTACTCTTTGGGCATTAGAAAGCCAGCGAGTGGGGGTTGTTGGTAGATTTTACTGGCGCTTCCGTCAGCTATCTGAATTAACGCTAGCAATCATGAAAAAGATATGTACTAAACGGTGATACTTTTAACATGCATCATGAACGGAAAATGATCAGCAAACGTTTGAGATACATAGTGCTAACTTTCAATGTGCTCTGTAGAGAACCGGTGAAGATAACAACTAAAGTGAGGAAAATATAATTTTACATGTCCTTCCATTGCCTTTCGAACTATATTGATGCAATTGGTAGACTTATTTGGCATTGTAGCCTAAAATATATAAACAAATTTTGGTCGAAATCGGACAGTTGGTCTCAGAGTTACGGATGTTTAAAGCGTGTGTGAGGGCTAGAAATCGTCCAAAACGGAGCCAGAACACGTTTTTGACACGGGAGCGAACTATTGAAATGCAGCCGGGGACGCGGGGGTCATGTACCTTTCAAGAAGTTCTGGAGAAGAAATAGTTCCCTCTTTGACTGACTGTAGTTCCGTTGTCCTTGGGTCTACAGTCAAAACAATTATTGTTCTGGAATTGCCAGGACCTCAGCTATCAGAACCACACATAAGACATACGGACCATTTTTCAATCCAATATGGCCGCCAAACGACGCATTTTTTATAAGCATCTAAGAACAGAAAATGTTAAGCGTATCATGCTGATGCATAGTACTAATTTTCACGTCTTTCTGTGCAGACCCTGAGCAGAATCAGAATCTGCCGAAATCCAATATGGCCGCCAAACTATTCATATTTTGACATGCACCAAAGAACAAAAAATGTTCAGCGCATCAATTTACTGCATGCTGCCAGATTCTAGCTGCGTAGTTGAAATAGTAATGACGCTGCGATTCTTTAAAGATACATTTTATAAAAAAATAAACAACAAAACCAAAAATCTAGATATCCGTAACTAATCGAGATATCGCAACATAGCTCGAGGATATTCATATTTGAGGTATATACTCTATATATGCAAATGTGCAAAGTTCTAGACATCATACATTCAGAGTTATAGATTGCGGAAATGCGTACCCGTCAAAAACGTGAAATCTCCTTCAATCCAATATGGCGGCCAAACGGTGCCTCTCAACCCCATTGGTCCTGCAGTTGAAATTGAAGGTAATCGGATTCCAGAGCTGCTCCAGAAATTTGGAAGTCATTGGACTTGTAGTTTCGGAGATTATTGCTTTGGAAATTGAATGTTTTGAATTAATTTTGAATTATCTGCCCTTTGCTCTTGGGCCTAGAGCATTGAGACTTTTATGGGGAATATTTACCTCGGTGGGCATCTGGGTGATTTTTTGCTCTGTTGGTGCCTAGAGCCTTGAGATCTGCCCTTTGCTCTTGGGCCTAGAGCCTTGAGACTTTTATGGGGAATATTT